TCCCTAGCTGATACCCCCTGAATACCTTCCTTGCTAAGAGGCCATTTTGCTTCTGCTTGATATTCACCCTGTGACCCAATTCAGGGGAGACACTTGGAAAGTACTCCCCATAACCCTATTTAATTTTTTTTTTTGTATAATTAAAAAATTTTTTTGTCTTCCCCACTAAAATGTAAGCTTCCTGACAGTAGTAACCTTGCCTGTCTGGCCTTCAAAATGTAGCTGGACCACAATGCATATATGTTGACAGAATAAATGAAAGAATGGATATTTGGATGCTTCCGGGGATGGGGACCTCACTACCTCACAGTTCAGCTGTTCCCTGTCAAGATAGCTTTTGCGTACTGGCTGTCCCTCACCTGGCTGCCATCTACCTCCATGTGGCCTTCCCTCATTGTCCTCAACTGTAGGGCCCCCTTTGAACAAGCCCACTTCTCTTCTGCATTGGAGCCATCCAGAGATTTGAAAACAGTGGCCAGCTGCACGCCTTTCAAAATGAATGTCCCCATTTCTTTCAGCTGCCTCTCGCTTATCAGTGTCATCTTAGCCATCCTCCTCCGAAGGGCGCTCTAATGGGGCACTGTCCCTCAGCAAGTTAGGTTAACTCTTTTGAGATCCTTAGCAAGCCTTGGCAGTTTGCAGATTTGAGACTCTTCTGCCCCAACATACATTTAGGTCGCTTCTTCATGCTCGGAGTTTTTAGGTATAAAAAGAGTCAGTGGATTTAACTGTGGATCGATGCTGTAAGCCAGTTGACTCGGTTCCCTTGCTCAAAGTTTCTTGAGAACAGCAGTCACAAGTAGGGGGCCCCAGATTTGAGGGGAGCAAATGGCTCTACTGACTCTGCCCTCCCACCCCCCTAACTCTTAGGACCAGGCTGGGGGGTATGGAGCTGAGGGCAGAGCGTGTGCTGCCACTCAGCAGAGGAGGGGGACCCCTGCTTCCTCATCATCAAGGGCGGTGCTCACCAGGGGGAGCGGTGAAGAAGTGGGGGGCTTGGACCCCTAGGGGATGCTACCAGGGTCTGAGATGGATGTTGTGTTTGAAAATGAAGATAAAATATTTTTATTATTCTCATAATTTAAGCTGTGGGTCAAAGGTCAATTTTTTTGCCTGCTGGGGAGGTAAAACAAAGTTTTGCAGTATTATAAAGCTTATAAAGGTTGGGAAACTGGCTGGGATTCTGCAAGTGCTCAGATCCCCTAAGTTTGGGGCAGTCTCCCCACACTGATGCCCAACTGGTGTGTCGATCCTGACCGCCCCTCCTCCTGCTGGCCGTGGTGGTCCTTTCAGTCATAGGTGCAGGACCCCAAGGGCATAACAGGAGTGAGCTCCACTCTGCCTCCTTGGTGGGGTGCTCTGGGAACCCCTGAGGGAACCATGTGACTGGGTTTAACAGCCCAGGCGGGGCAGGGCCGGTGGCTGCTGTGGGCACCCGGCCCATGTGAACTATTGCTCCGGCCGGGGCCTCCAGTGGCCCACAGCCCCTCAGCATGGGGCTGAAGCCTGAACATGTGAATGTTTGGGTGAAGTACACAGGATTTCTGGACACTATTTTGCAGGTGACCAAAAGAGGAAAGGGAGGAGCAAGGATCCCTTAGATCCACTGCTTGGTGATAATTTTACTCATCCATCCATCCATCCATCCACCACTCACTCAGTTAACAGGTGTTCCAGACCCACCATAGCCAGGCCTCTTCCTTCTTTAGCCTTCTCTCTTCCAGCAGCCCCACCCTCCTCCTCTATTCATGGAAATTTCTAAAGAAAGCATTCAACAATAAAACTAAATGCCCAGATAAGGCAAGTTGTATATAAATGCTATTTAATTTTTTAAAAATTTAAGTAATAAAGTACGAAAAACTTTAATTTTGGAGAAAAGTCCACTTTCCCATCAATCAAACTCCAGTCTGCTACAGTATCTGCGGGTCATTTCTCACCATGTCTCTGCACTATTGCATCGTCCTGAAGATCCTCCTGGCTCCATGTAGTTTATAGGGGAGGGTTGAGGGGAAAGGGGTTTGGGCAGCAGCTTTGTTAAAGAAAGGAACAGAGTGGGTTGCATCCTCCAAGGAACTCCTGTTGGGCAGCTGGGACTCGGGTAGCTGTCAGTGTCACTTAGAAAGCAAAGGTGACCTACAATCTCACACTGTCGTCAAGCAAACACACAGCAAACAGACACTTAGGAAGCTGGTAGTTTGGGGGCTTGTGAAGACCTGCATCTGCCAATGCAAGGAAGGGAAAAGCCCCGTTCCATGCCCCCGGCCACGTGAGATGCCTGCTCTGGTAGGTGAACCACTAGATTTGGGGGGGTGGATGAGGGCCTTTTGTAGCACCAGTCAGCCCCTTGACATCTAGAACTTAGCACTGACCATACACCTGTGGCTCACCTGGTCCACACCTGGCAGTGTCCACCCAGAGGTGAAGTCAGTAGTTTACTGGGAAGGTGTTTATTATTCCTATTGTTCAGTGGCTAAATTGTGTCTGACTCTTTTGTGACCCCATGGACTGTAGCCCACCAGGCTCCTCTGGCCATGGGATTTCCCAGGCAAGAATACTGGAGCTGGCTGCTATTTCCTTCTCCAGGGGATCTTCCTGACCCAGGGATCGAACCCATGTCTCCTACACTGGCAGGCAGATTCTTCACCACTGAGCCACCAGGGAAGCCCCCCTCATTCCCAGGTACCACTGTTAACTGGCGCCCACTACTGGGCTTCCCTGGTGGCTCAGTGGTGAAGAATCCACCTGCAATGCGGGAGACCTGGGTTCGACCCCTGAGTTGGGAAGATCCCCTGGAGATGGCTAACCACTCCAGTATTCTGTCCTGGAGAGGTCCGTGGACTGTATAGTCCATGGGGTCGCAAAGAGTCAGACACGACTGAGTGACTTTCAAAGAAAAAAAGTAATCGGTGCATCAGATATTTACTGAACATGCCCAGGGACCAAGGCCCACCAGTTTATCGCTCTCACTAGTTTATGAATCCTGATTTAGGCACACACCTCCTGGTGCCTCAGTCTCCCCACTTCTACATGATGGTTACAAGGTGATTAACCCTGGAAAGCTCATGGCAGTGGCTGCTGTATAAATAAGTTCAGAGTGTTCTGAGGGCCTGTGCGCTGTTCCAGGAGTCTTGTGTCACTGGACCTGTGAAATCTGAGGCCCGAAAGGCCACGAAGATGGGAGCACGCTGTGCCCGCGGCCCCGGCGCCTGGGATGAGCGCCGCCAGTGCACACCGTGTACCCTGGCTTCGCAGCCTCCTGTCTCACTCGGAGCGGCTCAAGGTCAGCGGTTTCAGGCCCGGAACATTCACAGCTTTCCTTGTGGCCTTAAGGGCCACAGTGCCTCCCTCCTCTGGTCTATTTCAGGCAGAGTCGAGGTAAAGAGGGAAGGGATCCCACAGACACCTCGGCAGGTGTCTGAGAATATGGACTTGGCTCCCACAGCACCGAGTTCCAGGGACAGCTCTGCCACGAACGACCCTGTGCTCCTGGGACTGGCTTCCTTCTCGTGAGACTGGACCCCTCATCTCTAAATTGGGGATTCAAAGTACCTGCCCCACAGGGCGGTTGCTCAGCTGAACTATACGTAAAGAACAGAGCATAGAGCTTGGCACAGACTACGCACTCATCAATGGGAACATCCTTCTTCCCCTAGCAGGTCCTTCCTGGTGGGCTGCCCAGGCTAGTCGACAGCCCTGGGCTCCCCAGTGGTGACACGTCTCATGCTTGCCTTGCCTGTTTGTTGGCTAGGCTTTCAGAACTTTCTACGTCTTTTGGTACCAGAGGCAACAGGGTCTTCTCAGGACTCACCCTCCACCCAATCCCACTGAGACACAGACCCAATCTCCCATAAAGTGTCATGGGTAAGATACTGATCACTGCCCAGAAGTGACTGCCCTGGACTTCCAGCTTTTCCCAGCCTCTCTATCAATGTTCGTGTACATCAGTGCTGGGAGTCCCAGGCTCTGTTCTCTGTAATTATAGGGACCCTCTACTCTTACTCTAGTGAAACACAGAGCAATCTAGATGTGGGATCCTTCCATCATTTGCCCAGAAGGACCATTTTGGAAAACAAAGTTACATATTTCCAAGGTCATAGGCTCTTCCTGCCTACTCCTGCTCCCTTGCCTCCCATCATGCATATGTAGACACACACGCTCTCCTGCTTCTCTGCCCATGAAATCCTTAACTCCAGTTGCCTGACCACTGGACTCATATCTTGTTGTTCTTATTTGCCTGGTTTTGGTTTCATTTATCCTGCAGGTTTTGAGTAAATTGTCTTTGAGGCCTTTGAATATAAACAACATTAAAAAAAAATCAGTGTAGAAGCTCTTCAAAACATTAACTTGTGTCTCCTAGTAACTTATTTCTGTGCTAACCTCAGAATCAAACTTTTCTGGGGATCTCTGTTTAGTGAAGAATTTCTGGAGATCACGATAGATTAAAATACACTGGTTTCCACTTGCAGTTATCTCTTTGTGCCGATCAGTGTGTTAGTCATTCAGTGATGTCTGATTCTGAGCAACCCCATGGACTATAGCCTCCCAGGCTCCTCTGTCCCTGGACTTCTCCAGGCAAGAATACTGGAGTGGGTAGCCGTTGCCTTATCTGGGGGATCTTTCTGACCTAGGGATCAAACCTGGGTCTCCTGCTTGGCAGGCAGATTCTTTACTGTCTGAGACCCAGCAAAGTGCAAAACATAGAAATCTGTCAGATGCAGAGGACAGCCCACAGCTGAGTAGCCTGATTCCTGATTTCACTTTTTTGTGTTTATCAAGTAAACTTCTTGTTCAATCTATGTCACTGATCAACATATTATAATAAGTAAATCTGATATTTACTTATGAAACTGAATACCATATAAAATACACTAAATGCATTTATACAAGTTCTTTCAAAATACACTTCTCTAGTTGTGTATTGTCAGTGTTTGGTTAACCACTGTAAGAAATGCCCCTCAAATTTCAATGTCTTAATTTACATCAAAATATAACATGAGTCAGCAGGGAGACTGTTCTTTTGTCCTTCAGGGAACCTGACTTTTTCTACCTTGCAGTTCCCCCTTTCCCTGGGTCCTCGGAGTCCTCTTCACTTACGGGAAAAGCAAAGAGTCTCTCAGGGAGGTGGTTGTGGTCAGGTCTGTAAGTGGAGCCCATTCCTTCTGCTTGCACCCCGTTGACCAGAACTCAGCTGCGTGGTCATCACACCTGAACACAGGGCAAGAGAGGGTGTGTCCAGGAGGGAGAGAAGATGAATGAATATCGATGAGGAGTAGTAGATCTGCTATAAATTTATAACCTCACTTCATCCAAGTGTGCTATGCTATGCTACGTCGCTTCAGTCATGTCTGACTCTTTGTGACCCCATGGACTGTAGCCCATCAGGCTTCTTGGGAGCCTTGTCCATGGGATTCTCCAGACAAGAATACCAGCAAGAATACATGCCCTTCTCCAAAGGTGAGCTCCCTCAAAGAGCTTGCGGTAGGCAAAATGATGGCTACAACAATTTCCATGTTCTAATGCCCAGAACCTCAGAAGATATTACCTTCATGCAAAAGAGACTTTGCAGATGTGATTAAGGATCTTGAGATAAGGAGATTTTACTGGATAATCTAAGGGAGAGGAGCAATGTAATCACAAGTGTTAGAAATGGAAAAGTGAGGCAAGAGAGACAGAAATTTGAAGATGATACAATGGTGGCTTTGAACACAGGAGAAGGGGCTATGAGGTAAGCAATGCAGACAGCCTCAGGAAGCTTCAGAGGCAAAGGAATGGAGTCACCCCTAGACCTTCCGGAAGAAATGCATCCTTGAAAACGTCTCGATTTTAGCCCAATGAAACCCATTTGGAACTTCCAGTGTTCAGGACTATAAGATAGTAAATTTATGTTGTTTTAAGCCACTAAGCTTGTGGCAATTTTCTAGAGAGCCATAGGAAATGAGTGTACAGCTCATTTTACTTTGCATACCTACTGTGTGCCTCGTACACAGTAAGTACAGATAGCAGGGGCATTTTTCACATGGAGTTTGATGGGGAGCAAAGCAAACTTATGAAGCAAGAACTGAAAATCAAAGAAAGTGGAGCTCCTTCCTAAAGACTGGGAGACTGTTGCCATGTAGCCCAGGTAAGGGAGGAGACCAAACTTCCAGTACGGAGGAGACTTGGAAGGTGGTAGCCTGGGAGCAGCTGAGTAAGAAACATGCAGCCGCAGCATGGAGGTGGGTAGGTAGAGTGGTTGCTTATGATGATTTGGTAGTATGGCGGGAGCCAGGGAGCCAAGCTTCTATCTGGAAGGGAACTTGGGGAGCATGAGAACAAAGGGCTTTCTGAGGGGAAGCTGGAGACAGGCTTTTGGGTCAGAATTCCAGGATCAGAGTCTGACCTCATGTCCCTTCTTCTTATCTGGCTGTGTAACCTGCATAACAGATCGCCTTAAGACTTGGTAGTGTACTGCAAGCTTTGTACCATGCTCAGCATTCTCTGAGTTGGACAGGTCATGGTGGGGACAGCTTATCTCTGGTCTATGATTCCTGGGTCTCCAAGAGGAGGATTCCAAGGCCGGGGATGACTCAACATAGTATGGCAACCTTATGTGGAAGTTCAGAGCTTCAAAGACAAGTGTCCTAGCCCATAAAGTAGAACCTGTAGCTTCTTTTATGATTTATCCTCAGAAGCCATCCAGCGTCCCTTCTGCTGCATTTTATTAGTTTACATCAAATCACAAGCTCATCCAGATTTAAGAGCAGAGCTAGATTCTCCCTCCTGATGGGAAGTGGCAAGGTTCTAGTAGAATGCATCAGACAGCAGAGATTGCTGCAAGTACCTTAGGAAAATGTAATCTGCCACATTTGGTAATTTTCCAACTTTTTGAGGTTTGGTTTCCTCAGCAAGAAGATAGGGTGATAGCTGCAAACCTCCCATCTGGGTTAAAGTATCTAAAGCTTTTGACACAGCGCCTTGAATATAATACTATCCTAATTGCTTCCAAGAAACCAGAGAGCAGGTCTGTTGTTTCTCATGACAGCATCCACAGTTCCTTGCACAGTGCCTGGCATCTGAATGAATCTAAGAGAATTGTGCCAGATTGGGGATCATCTGTTGGTGTATCAGCTATATACTGCTGTGTAACAAGCTACTCCAAAACTTAGTCACTTAAAACAGCAGCCACTTTATTTGTCTGTAGTTCTGTGAGTCAGCAGTTCAGGCTGGATTCAGCTCAGTGGTTCTGCTGCTGCTCTCACCTGGGATCACTCATGTGGCTGCAGTTATGGGCAGTTGACTAATGTTGGATGATCCAGACCCATCACACACATCTCACATATTGACAGTTGGAGAGCCTCAGTTTTCCTCCATGTGGCCTTTCTAGCCGGCTAGCTCAGGTCCGTTTGCACCACGGTCCCAGGGTTCCAACTGCAGCCAAAAGACAAGCCCTAATTCCTAGGCACTTTTGAAGCCTCTGCTTGTGCCTTATTTACTACTTTCTTGTTGTCTTAAAACTCAATATTCAAAAGACTAAGATCATGGCATCCAGTCCCATCACTTCATGGCAAATAGATGGGGAAACAATGGAAACAGTGACAGACTTTATCTTCTTGGGCTCTGAAATAACTGCAGATGGTGACTGCAGCCATGAAATTAAAAGACACTTGCCCCTTGGAAGAAAAGCTATGACAAACCTAGACAGCATTATAAACAACAGAGACGTCACTTTGCTGACAAAAGTCTGTGGTCTTTTGTCAAAGTTGTGGTCTTTCCAGTAGTCATGTATGGATGTGAGAGTGGGGCCCTGAAAAGGCTGAGCGCCAAAGAACTGATGCTTTTGAACTATGATGCTGGAGAAGATTCTTGAGAGTCCCTTGGACAGTAAGGAGATCAAACCAGTCAATCCTAAAGGAAATCAGTCCTGAATATTCACTGGAAGGACTGATGCTGAAGCTGAAACTCCAATACTTTGGCCACCTGATGGGAAGAGTCGACTCATTGGAAAAGACCCTGATGCTGGGAAAGATTGAGGGCAGAAGGAGAAGGGGACGACAGAGGATGAGATGGTTGGATGGCATCATCGACTCAATGGATATGAATTTGAGCAAACTGCAGGAGATAGTGAAGGACAGAGAAGCCTGGTGTGCTACAGTCCATGGGGTCACAAAGAGTCAGACACGACTGAGTGACTAAACAACATGGCCAGTCATGTGGCCAAGCCTGGACTTAAGGGATGGAAAAATAAACCCCACATCTTGAAGGGAGGGGCAACAAAGTTGCTTTACAAAGTACAGGAAAGGAGGGATCATTGCAGCCATCCTTGCAAATGATCCATCACAGTTAATATCAAGCTGTATGATAGAGGTTGAGATGGGGCTGGAGGTTCAGTTGCATGAGGGAGGTGGCAGGGGGGTAGTGCTGAGCATATGTGACAGTCTATCCAGCAGGACACTGGTTTGGCAAGGAGAGTTCACTGCACCTTCTGCCTCAAACCACAGGGAAATGTATCAGCTCACCTGACAGGACTGCAGAGGCTAGGCTTGCTCCAGCTTGGCTGAAGGAGCAACTCAACAAAGTCAGCCATCCCAGATCCTTACCCATCCACTCCCTGCCCTCCTTGGTGAGGGCCTTGTCCTTTAGGCTTGCAGTATGATGGCTACAGCAATTCCCAGAGCCCTATTCAGGCACCTGGAGAAGGAAAGGCAGAAACTTCTCAGAATCCAGCCAAGCAGTTTTTTCCATTATGGCTCCATGGCCAGGACTGGGCCAAGAGGGTAGGATCCCCATGGCTGCTCATGTTACTTTCCTGGGGCTGCCATAACAAAATACCACATGCTGGTGGCTTAAAGTCACAGAAATGTATTGTCTCACAGTTCTGGAGGTTAGAAGTCCTACATCAATGTGTTGGCAGTGCCATGCTCCCTCTGAAACCTGAAGGAAAATCATTGCTTGCCTCTTCCTAGCTTCTGGTGTTTCACCCCAAATCCTTGACATTCCTTGGCCCGTAGATGCATCACTCCAATCCTCCATCTTCACGTGATCTTCTCCCTGTGGGCTCACATCATTTTCCCTCTGTGCGTGTCTGTCTCTGGGTCCCAATTTTCCCTTTTAATAAGAACACCAGTCATATTGGATTAAGGCCCACCTTCATGACCTTATTTTAACATGATCACCTATGTTAAGACCTCCGTTTCCAAATAAGTTCACTTTCTGTGGTGGTAGGGGTTAGACTACAACTTACAATGTAGTTGAATGTTGAAAATGAATCACAGTGATCCCCACAGCCTTCGAATGAATGAATGAGTGAATAAAAGACCATAGTACTTGGAGTACTCCCATGGAGTCCGATATTAGCTTCCTGGTGAGGTTTGCAGGGTAATTTTAGCCCTAGAACTCAATGAGGATATTTGGGTATTTGTGCCTTCTGCTTATGACAGATTGTTGATCACATTTATAATTTATTTCTGGCCTGTATCTTTAGTCAGAAGCACAACCAACTCCTCAAGAACAAATGCTATTCCTCTGGGAAATTTTGACAAACCACATTATGACATGGTTTCCAGGAATGTATTGTGATGAAGTCCAGTCTGCTTATACAGACACTCAGCAAATACCCACAAGCACCCAGCTCATATACACAAACCAGCATCTCCAGGGCAACGAAGGATAGCAACTGGCTGCCTAGCAACACTGCCTCCCTGGCTCCCACCTTCCACTACCCTCTCCTATGTGGAATGCGGGCCTTTCCCCTTCAAGGCAACTCTCTGTGGGTAAGATGATTAGATTTCCCTGCGGGAGGGAGTGGGGACTCTGGATACCCTATCACAAAACTTACCAAAGTTGCCCCGTTGTTTTAGAATATATTTAGGTCTACCCAGCCCCAGATAAATCACACAATTCTTAGAAGCCAAACTTAAAATTTGCACCCACCACAGGAAGTCCTGAGTCATACATAATGAAAGATTAGGGGCTGCCAGGCTTGCAGTGTGTGTGTGCTCAGCCGCTTCGGTCATGTTCGACTCTTTGCCACCCTTTGGACCGTGGCCTGCCAGGCTCTGTCTGTGGGATTCTCCAGAATGCTGAAGTGGGTTGCCATGATTTCCTCCTTGTAGAGGAGGCACTAATTCTCTTACCTTGCTCTTTTGAGATGGTGGAGGACTGGGTGGAACTGGGGTTTAGAGTCCCCTGGGAGGGCCCAGGGTTAAAAATAAAAATCTCCTTCTTGACTATCAATTCATCACAGCAGATACCTTTAAAGTGTGCATCTATCTTCACAGAGAGCTAGCACTCAGGCACTTTTTATTGCAATTGTTTTTCCCATTAAAAAGGGACTAGGTTCCACAGCAGGGAAAGGAGAGTGTGGGAGAAATTCAGAGCGTAGCATTGAAATATATACACATGAAATATATATACACTACCATGGGTGAAATAGCTAGCTAGTGGGAAGCTGCTCCATAGCACAGGGAGCTCAGCCTGGTGCTCTATGATGACCTAGAGGGCTCAGACGGGGGATGGGGTGGAAGGCCCAAGAGGGAGGAGATATATGTATACTTTTGACGGATTCATGTTTTTGTATGGCAGAAACCAACACAGCATTGTAAAGCAATTATCCTCCAATTAAAAATAAAAAAGACAAAGCTCTCTAAAAAAATAGAGAGAAAGAAAGCAAGCTCTCTTAAAAAAAAAAAAAATGGAAAAAAGAAAAAGGACTGGGTTTCAACCAGTGGAAAGAGAAGAGTGGAGTCATAGAAATCGATTTGCAGCCAGGACACTTTGAGGTCAGACCCCGGTGAAAATGGGTATTTGGGGACTTATAAGTGGTAGAGAAAAAGGGTACAGAACAGAAGAAAAAGGATGCTGTAATTCTGACCGGAGTCAAGGCACAGGGGGACATCAATCTTTCTTCTCACAGTTGCCTTTGCTGCTGGAAAAGAGTGATTTTTTTCCACCAGGAGGCTTCCCTGGTGGCTCAGATGGTAAAGAATCTGCCCGCAATGTGCGAGACCCGGGTTTGATCCCTGGGTTGGGAGGATGCCCTGGAGGAGGGCATGGCAACCCACTCCAGTATTCTTGCCTGGAGAATCCCCGTGGTCAGAGGAGCCTGGCGTGCTACAGTCCTTGGGGTCGCAGAGTCAGACAGGACTGAGCGGCTAACCACAGCTCAGCGGCCCCTGCGCGTGGACTTGAGCCCTCTCCTAGGTAACAGTGTCACCACCCACCAAGTTCCCGGGCTGCTCTAGACGCCTCCCTTGCCCTTAGACTCCATCAGCAGGTCATGACTGTTCCACTTCCTCAATGTTGCACAGATCTTTCCCTTTCCCGTGACCCGTTTTAGTTCAGACCCTCATGCTCTCTTCCTGTCCCCATCCGTCTGCCTCTCTTCATCCTCCATCCTGCCCAAGGTGGTCTTGTTGAACTGCTCATCTCATCACATCACTCCTGGGCAGGACATCTTCTGTCTGCCCCTGCAAACCTGTTCTATCCTACTGTTAGTCCTGGGAACTGACCTGGATGGACCACAGCTATGGCCCCCCTTGGCTTCCGGCTTCTGGTTGGATTTGGCCAAAGAGGAGCGCCACCAGGAGGTCAAAGGGGAGGAGAATGAGGTTAGGGTCTTTATAGCCCCTTACAGTGGAGTCTCGCTTACTTGCTCAGTCGTGTCCAACTCTTAGTGACCGCATGGACTATAGCCCACCAGGATCCTCTGTCCATGGGATTGTCCAAGCAAAAATATTGGAGTGGGTTCCCATTTCCTATTCCAGGGGATCTTTCCAGCCCAGGGACTGAACCCATGTCTCCTGTGTCTTCTGCATTGGCAGGCGGATTCTTTACCAATGAGCCACCTGAAAAATCCAAAAGGAAGTGGGCTTGTCCTGGATTTGAACCCGGGACCTCTCACAACCAAGGTGAGGATCATACCAGTAGACCTGCAAGCCCAACAAGCCAACTTGGGATGCCCATGGTACAGTCATTTTAACCAAAAGTCTCAGCTCCTCTCAAGGTGACCTTCACATGAGTTTTTCAGCAACTGCTCCTTCCCCTCATCTCTTCCTACCAACAGTCCTCGTGTTACCTGACTCAGGTATAGCATCTTACTTTGTGGTTTTACTGTGTGCTACCCAAACATTAGTAAATAGCCTTTCCATTGAACACACCTCAGATTATCCCTGTTTGAATGTGCCGTCTCTTTCCGCTGCATTCCTGAATGATTCACTTCTCCTACTCAAAATCCTCAGAGGTTCCCACGGCCTTTAAAATAAAGCCCAAGTTGATGATCTTGGCACTCAAGGTCCTTCATCACCTCATTTACCTTTCCAGCCTGGTTCTTGTCACTGGCCTTCACTTACTCTGGAATCTAATTATAGAGTCATACGTATTTACCCTCAGATATTTGTACCCCTGAGCATGCAGTGTCTTATGTCTGAACTGCTTCTCATTCACTCAGTCTGATAACAGCAGTTCTAAAGGTCTAGCACTGTGTCTGGCATTTAGAAAACTCTCAGTAATTACACAGTGAATGAAAAAAATGAGAATTTTTGAGAAGCTCACTTCCAGGCCCAATGTCATGCAAAGGCATGTGTATGGATACATAAGACTCAACTCTCAAGGAAAAGGGTTTTATGCCAAACCAGGCACTATATAGTCTTCTTCCCTAAATTATGGGGGCAAGTGGCAAGGGGAAAGTGAGGAGGCTTCTAAGCACAAATCAGTGCAAGGTAGTACAACCCCTTCAAAGTTGGAGAAAAACAATGGCATCTTCCCCAGATGGCTGTCTCTGATGATCTCTGGGTGAATCACTGTGGAAAAAATAGAGAGATGTTCCAGGGAGCCAGACACGTAATCAGTAGGAAAATCTATCCCTTCAGGGTGTTCTCATTCAGTAAACTTTCCCCTGCTGTGAGCTTCCTCAGGATGGGGAAGCCCTGGTGAAAGGTAGGGATGGAGCAGGAGGTGGGAGGGAGGATTTGGGTGGAAGAAGAGAGGAGGGAAGGCGGGTCAGTGCAGACCAGCCCTCAGGGGAGGCTTCCTGGCTCCAGGGAGTTGAGCCCATCACCTGGAATGTGGGCACCAAGACTTGTTAGAGAGGGGGTCAGAGGGTCTGGAAGGCTTGGGATCTCCCCTCAATTAGGTGGGACAGCTTACAGAGCAACTCACCAATCCTTTTACTCTGGGTCTGACTGCTGTAGAAATAACGTTCTCAAAATCACATAAGAAACTGGCTGATGGGTCCCAGTGGGAAGGGGAGACTAAGGAAGAGGATTCTGTGTTTCCGTCTTATATTGTTCTATACAAATAACATGCAGAGGTACTATTTTCGAAAAATGCCCAAGAGGCTATCACATCTGTGGAATTTTGGACCAATTGGTTTTTACTTTATTTTTATATTTAAAAAAACAAGAAATGTTATTGAAAGCAGCTACTGTACCTCTAAGATTTCTGAGACAGCCCTGAGTTTCAATATTCTGTCCCTTTGGTCTCACAGAGTATAGAATCGTCTCAGAAATTCTGACAGCATGTTAGCATCTAAACTGCTCACCTACCTGGAAATAGGGCCAAATCTCAAATCAGACCTCAGTTCCTAACATCGAGGAAAGAAAATATAATTTCCATGTCTAGTAAGAACATTCACTTTTTCTTTCTTCTTTGAGAATAATAATACATTATTATTATTATTATGGATGGTCAAGATAATAATACATTAACTTTTTCAAGAATCTGAGGATGCAAACATCCTTCACTAGGGCTGGTGTGAGTATGCTAATCTCCAATTTTAAGAACT